TTGTATGGAACCAGAAAAGACCCCAAATAGCCAGAGGAATGTTGAAAAAGAAAAGCGAAGCTGGCGGCATCACAATTCCGGACGGACTTCCAGCTCTATTACAAAGCAGTCATCATCAAGACAGTATGGTACTGGCACAAAAACAGACACATAGATCAATGGAACAGAATAGAAAGCCCAGAAATGGACCCTCAAGTCTATGGTCAACTCATCTTCGACAAAGCAGGAAAGAATGTCCGATGGAAACAAGACAGTCTCTTCAACAAATGGTGTTGGGAAAATTGGACAGCCACATGCAGAAGAATGAAACTGGACCATTTCCTTACACCACACACAAAAATAGGCTCCAAATGGTTGAAAGACCTAAACGTGAGACAGGAGTCCATCAAAATCCTAAAGGAGAGCACAGGCAGCAACCTCTTCGACCTCAGCCGCGGCAACTTCTTCCTAGAAACATTGCCAAAGGCAAGGGAAGCAAGGGCAAAAATGAATTATTGGGACTTCATCAAGATAAAAAGCTTTTGCACAGCAAAAGAAACAGTCCACAAAACCAAAAGACAACCGACAGAATGGGAGAAGATATTTGCAAATGACATATCAGATAAAGGGCTGGTATCCAAAATCTATAAAGAACTTATCAAACGCAACACCCCAAGAGCAAATAATCCAGTCAAGAAATGGGCAGAAGACATGAACAGACATTTTTCCAAAGAAGACATCCAAATGGCCAACAGACACATGAAAAAATGCTCAACATCGCTCGGCATCAGGGAAATCCAAATCAAAACCTCAATGAGATACCACCTCACACCAGTCAGAATGGCTAAAATAAACAAGTCAAGAAACGACAGATGTTGGTGGGGATGCGGAGAAAAGGGAACCCTCCTACACTGTTGGTGGGAATGCAAGCTGGTGCAGCCCTCTGGAAAACAGTATGGAGGTTCCTCAAAAATTGAAAACAGAGCTACCATATGACCCAGCAATTTCACCACTGGGTATTTACCCCAAAGATACAAAAGGAGTGATCCGAAGGGGTACGTGCACCCCAATGTTTATAGCAGCAATGTCCGCAACAGCCAAACTGTGGTAAGAGCCAAGATGTTCATCGACAAATGAATGGATAAGGAAGATGTGCTACATATATATACAACAGAATCTTGCCATTTGCAACGTGGATGGAACTGGATCATATTATGCTGAGTGAAATAAGTCAATCAGAGAAAGACGTATCATCTGATCTCACTGATATGAGGAATTCTTAATCTCAGGAAACAAACTGAGGGTTGCTGGAGTGGGAGGGGGTGGGAGGGATGGGGTGGCTGGATGACAGACATTAGGGAGGGTATGTGCTATGGTGAGCGCTGTGAATTGTGTAAGACTGCTGAATCACAGACCTGTACCTCTGAAACAAATAATACATTATATGTTAAAAAAAAAAAAAAAAAGAAGATAGTAGGAAGGGTAAAATGAAGGGGCGGAAATCGGAGGGGGAGACGAACCACGAGAGACTATGGACTCTGAAAAACAAACTGAGGGTTCTAGAGGGGCGCGGGGTGGGGGGATGGGTTAGCCTGGTGATGGGTATTAAAGAGGGCACGTACTGAATGGAGCACTGGGTGTTATATGCAACAATGAATCATGGAACACTACATCAAAAACTAACGATGTAATGTATGGTGACTAACATTACAAAATTAAAAAAAAAAGGAAAGGTAAACAAAAAAAAACAGTAATGGTATTATTAAAAATTAAGTTGTAAAAGTATGTTTCTATTGCTTTAGAAATATACTCATGACATATTATTACAAAACCACAAGCCATATGTGTGTGTGTGTGTGTGTGTGTGTATATACACACATACAGAAAATGCCTAGAAGGATATGGATGACCAGTGCTTAATTCTGTAGCATGGGACAATTTTAATTTTTACATTCTACACGTTTCTATTTTCTCATTTCTCTACTATGACTATGTATTACTTGTGTAATAACAAGTTTTTATAGCCTTAAAATTAGTGAGCCAACTAAGAAACCTTATAAATTATGTATTTAATAGAAAATGGGCAACTGCTGACACTAAAAATTATCTTAAAGAAATTAATTTATTTTAATCCTTACATATTTTAGGTAAGTGTGAGTCTAAAAACCAAGCCCCCTGGTCCTCAGAAAGTCATTTAACCTTTCTCTATTTTGGATTTCTCATACACTGAATAAGGATGATTGTAAAAATCCAATAATAAATGCACAGCTATTTAAAAAAGATTTCAAATGTTATCTTTGAGTCCCTGGGATTACTTTGAGCCCCCAGTATTATTCCATAATAATGGTATTAAGACATCCAGTTATTTGTAATTTAGGAATACAAAGATGAGTTAATTAGGATTTGATTATTCCATTTATCAAATGAACCATGACATAAATATCTAATAACTAGATGAACAACTGCTCAGAAATAAAAAATTACCAATAATCATACATGGAAACATTATTCTGTCTTGGTTCCAAGTCCAATTTCTATAGTTCATTAACAGACTACAGAATTTGCCTTGTGAAGAAACAAGTTCACTTCTCATCTGTGCAGAGAAACAAGTTTCTAATTTTAACAGTGGAACAGCTAAGGCGGTACTACTTTTTCCATGACCTTCTTTTCCATCCCTTTCCCTCCTCTTTCCAATTTCATTCAAACTACAAAAGAACCAGAGAAGTTAAGGAGTGAAGATTCTTGACACTAACTCTGCATGTGTCATCATAACAGGTAACCCCGAGACCACACAGCTGCCTGCTCTAACTTAATCCTCCCAACTATCTGTCATTCAGCTATGCACTGGAAACAAAGTATTTGTGCCCAGTTGGGATTTTCCACTTAAAACAAAAGAGCAGCATTCAGCTAAGTCAGTGTAATTTATCACTGTATAATATATATTCCCAAACAGGTCACTCAAAATGTTTCACACAAAACAACCTCAATGATATATATGGATGGATTTTCCTCCAATGTAAGTATCAAAAGTCACTTAGTATGAAATCTTATTCTTGTAATTGTCTACCTTTCCCTCACAAGAACTAATCATTGTGATTACCATACCATGCTGTCAGAACAAGAAAAGGAATAAAATGAAGCAGCACCAGAGCCTTTTGCTAGAAGACATAAACAAGGTTATCTTGTATATCTGTTAGAAACCTTCTGCTCACAAATTCAGGAATCTGTGGCAAACCTGTTACTCATTACCCACATTTGTGGGAATTCTGTCCTACCGTTCTAAGGTGGCCTGGGGCCACCTCAATGAAAATGTACTTCCCCTGTGAAGTACAGACCCAGTAACTAGCCACATCTTCCATAACTATGGAGAAAAGACACAGGGCTGAGAATGGAGCTGGGAATTGTACAACATAATCATTTCAGGATCACTGAAATCTGCGGTATAGCAAACATGCCTGCGTACACAAGACTGTCACAATATCACTTTCAAATTCTAACAAACTCTTTGTCCATATATGATTCCTCAATATGCTCCTGGCTTATTTATTATTTGTACTGTAATTTTACAGTCAGGGAGTTAATAAAGTAAAAAGTACTAGGAGTTTCCTGTAACTTTCATTACCAATTTTTTTGCTTTAGATTTCCATTTTCCTTCCCTTAAGAAGTTGGCAAAGAAATACTTGAAGAACACTTTCTTGGTTAAACTGTTACAAGCTTCTTTGCATATCACGCAGCAAAAGAAACTCCATGAGGTTAAGGTCTCTTGAGTAACACCTTCATTAAGGAGCCATGCTGGGCCAATGGTACCAGTGCTTCAACACTAAAACAGAACAACTAGGCCTGACCAGTGTAATTGTGCTTTGTTTAGCAGCTCCAGGGCCTTGGAGTTAAGGGCTCAGTATCAGAGGATCTCCCAAATAAGAGCCTGTCTTTTGTGCTGCCCATCATGGCTAGAGAAAATAAAAGCCCCCAGAGAAAAATAAAAGGGTGCTCCCAACATGTTACTTCTATCACCACAATCTGGTCTTTAGAAAGACTTGCAGCTGGGTTGTGTAAGAAGATGACTATCAGGGAAGAGGATTTTGGAGCTGGAAAGGACATTCTCACACATGTATCTGAAAACGTGATTCAATGGCATAAAAATAAAGACTACATTTGGTGCTGTCTGTACCTCTATTTCCTTTTCCTTCATGGTTATACAAAGTGTTGCTCAAAAGAGCCAACCCAGGGCTCAGGTCAGGGAGTGCAGTCCGGTCCTCCCACTACATCATATTCATAGCATCCTCACAATTTTCTTATGGTCTCCCTCAGACTATCATCAAACTAAGCCATCCAGGTCTCCTCTTGTGTGACCATGGAATACAGATTCCCCAATAGAGGTCTGATGATACAAGGTGTCACTTTATTTGAAAAGTGAGCCAACCAAATCCCAGAACTGGTGGTTTGTGATCCTACCCTGCCATCTGATGACAGAGTCAGCTCACAACCATGAAGAAGGACAGATATGCCCCAACTTCTGCAGACCTTTCCTTTATCTCGGTGGTATTCTCTGGCAGTCTTTCAGTCATGATTACAACCCGCTTGAATCCTGCTCCTTCTGCTCTAAGGGTATATCTTGCTGTATGATATTGTAATGTGTGGTCTCTATAGAAGAAAAACTAGCCAGAACCATTTACCAAAAATGCTGAAATGCTACTAAGCGTTAGTATTTATAGCCTATGACAGGCATCCCACAGCTACCACGCAGCACCTGAATCATGTCCCTCCATCATCTTCTTTCTCTGCCTCACTCTATTTTTCTTATTCCTACATCTTAGATACCTACCAACCCAAGAAACTTGATCAGTTCCATTGGCTTAAATCTCAGAATTGGGTAGACTGCTGATCCTACTATTGTAAAGCATTATTATAATGATGGTAATTATAGAATCCTAGAACAAAACAAGACTAAAGTTCAGAATTGGTACTGTTAACAAAGTGCAAAATTTTACAGAATATAAACATGTACACAATAAGCTTACCATTGACATTAACCAATGAGAGAATATTATCCTGGTGATCAAGGAGGCGCTTAATTTCAAGAATATTCCATTCCAGTGATTCTTCTGTGGGTGCTACCAGCCGGAAAATTACTAAATGAAAATACAGATATAATTTTGTTAAAATGGTCAAAGAAGATAGAATTCTATTTCTGCTCAAAAAGCTAGCATTTCATTAAGTGAGAAAGATCTCACATATTGAAAAACTCATCTCCAAAGAAAGCCTTACTCATACTACTTTAGAGTATTTCTTTCAAATGCTTGAGATGTTTGAGATGATCTACTAAAATCCCAAGTGAGTGCGTCTTTACAACTGTTCCTTTATTAAAACTCTTTTTAAGCCAGAAGTCTCCATCTTATCTAGGGCTTCAGTGTAAGTCTGGCTACCCTGCCTCCCTCTCTCCTTGGACAGTGACTGGTCCACAACCTAGAATCATCTTCATCATCAGCTTTCTCTACTCATGTTCTCAGGTCAGTAAGCACTGCTACAAAAGAAGCTATAAATTCATGGTTAACTTCAACTCAGTAAAGACTTCAGCAGCCATTAATTTTTAAAAAATTTTCTTGATACTTAGGCATACATTACCGAATTATAAATTCTCTGAGAACATGCCTTATAGTTTCTGTGTGTCACAGATATTCAATGTGTTCCTTTAATATACTTTTGACTATAATAGATGTTCAGTGTGTTGCTTTACTCATTATCTGACTTTTTAACAAATAGTTTTATTTAAACTTGTATAAATCCTAACTTTAATTAATACAGAAAACCGAAAAATCAAATCAACAGGAGTGATTCTATCAACATTTACTAAACATTTACTATGTTTCAGAAACTTAGACATCAAATGTGAAAAAGGCCCAGTCACTGCCCTAAAATACAGTCTACAGTGGGAGTGAGACTTATAAACAAGCTTATGATCAATGTATTAAGTGCTGTAGATAAGCCACTGTACCAAGTGCTATGATGCTCACAAATTAGGATGATTAATATCTGAAAAGTGGGTAGGCCTCAGAACTCATATCCTTTCCAGGTGGTAGCTAATTACTAATGTCTCTCTTCTTTCTCACATTTCTCTCTGAAAACAGATCATACCACATTTCTTTCTATGTCTCTGGACAATATGTTACCAACTGACAAATCTCTAGCCAAGTTATTTCATCCTGACAGCCATTCACATTCAAACTGTGGCTATCAAAAGAAGAAGGTCTTTCAGTAAATACAAAGGGAATGCTTCTGGATACCTATCAAAGTTGTGTAAAAACTCTACTTATAGTCTGAATACTACTAAATCACCTTGAGATTGGGACTGTGGAGTAACGGACAATGTACTATTTAATCAAACTAAGAGAAATAATAACCTGAAATACTGACAAGAAAAGGAAACCTATCAAGTAGGTTTCTATAAACTACCAGGTACTAAATATAATATGAAACTGTTCAGTGAATCCATAAATATGGTCCCCATTGGCAAGTATTCACAGGGTCACCCATGTAATAACTTGAGGAAATAAAACAAATATAAATTAGATCCAAAAGACAAAAGGGAAGCAATAGTCAATTCTAAAAAATGGTTAAGAAAAAATAGCCTGGGGCAGAGCAAGATGGCAGAGGAGTAGGAGACCTAGATTTCGTCTGGTCTCACGAATTCAGCTGAATAGGGATCAAACCATTCTGAACACCTACGAACTCAACAGGAGATCGAAGATAAGAAGAGTAACAACACTCTGAACAGAAAAGCGACAACTTTCTGGAAGGTAGGACGTGCAGAGAAGTGAATCCGAGACGATATTCCGGAGGATAGACGGCGGGGGAGGGGGCCTCCCTCGGCCACTTCTGGCAAGAGATAGAGCCGTGGAGCACAAAATCGGAACTTTTAGAAGCTGGCTCCACTGAGGGACGTTGCTCCAGTGGCTAAGCGGGCGGTGGAACCCTCGCGGGACAGTGTGGTCTCAGAACCCTTGGGGTCACAGAAAGACCGGGGGTGCCTGAGTGCGGCAGAGCTCCCAGGTATCGGAGTGTGGAAGCCGGCTGCAGAGACGGAGCCGAGGCGCGGGCTCTCAGCTCGGGGTTGCCATAAACTGTGATCCGCGGCCCAGTCGAGCTACTGCTCCTCCAGCAGGGACCCAACAAGGGGCAGAGCCAGGGAGACTCCCCTTTCTCCCACGGGAGGAGCGGCACGGGAGTGCACCACAGGGATCTGCTGGGTTTGGAGACTCCACACGGGGTCCGGTGCCAGACATAGAAACGCTCGATCACAGGCCAGGTGAGCACGGAGTGCGCCGGAGACCGGGGAGACGGGAGTGACTGCTTTCCTATGGGGGCACACTGAGGAGCGGGCCCCGAGTTCTCAGCTCCTCCAGGCGGAGATTGGGAGGTCACCATTTTCACCCTGGTCCTCCAGAACTGTACCGAGAGCTTGCAGGGAACAAAAGCTCCTGAGAGCAAACCCAAGCACCTTGCTTAGCCTGGACCCACAAGGGCGGGGCAATTCCGCCTCCGGCAGACATTTGGGAACCACGGCAACAGGCCCCTCCCCCAGAAGATCAGCACGAACAGCCAGCAAGCCAAGACCAAGTTTACGGATCAAGAACGGGAGAACTCCAGTGCTAGCGGAATACTGCACATAGAACTCATGGCTTTTTTACCATAATTCATTAGTTTTTCAAAGTTAATTTTTTTTCACTGTTTTTTTTTGAATTTTTCTTTTTCCCTTTTTCAAACAACATCTTATCAATCTTTTAAAAAAAAACTTTTTATTTTTAATTTTTAGAGTCATATTTTTATCCCTTCATAGTAGTTACCCTTATTTTTGGCATATATATATAAGTTCTTCTCTCTTGAAAATTTTGAGATACAATTTCTTCTAACAGATCAAAATATACCCTAAATCACTAGTGTATGGCTTTGTTCTAGTCTCCTGCCTATTCACATTCTCTCCCTTTTTTTTCTTTTTTTTCTTTTTTCTTTTTCTTTTTAAATCTTCTTCTTTCTTTTTAAAAAACAATTTATCAATTCCTTTTATAAAATCTTTTATAATTTTCATCTTTACAGTCATCTTCCATCCCTTCATTGTATCAACCCTTATTTTGCACATATATAAGTCTTTCTTCCTTTAAAATTTTAGCAGGCACTTTCTTCTAACAGACCAAAATATGCCCAAAAGCTAGTGTGTGGCACTGATCTATGCACTAGCCTGATCATATTTGATCATATTCTGGTTTTTTTGGTTTTGTTCTGTTTTTGTTTGTTTTTATCTTTTTTTCTTTTTTTCTCTTTCTTTTTGCTTTCTTTCCCTTTCTTGTCCCCTGGTTTCAGGTCTTTTATGATTTGTATACAGTATATTTGCTGGGGACGTTGTTAACCTGTTAGCATTCTGTTCTCTCATTCATCTATTCTCCTCTGGACAAAATGACAAGATGAAAAAAATCACCTCAGCAAAAAGAACAAGAGATAGTACCGTCAGCCAGGGACCTACTCAATACGGACATTAGTACGATGTCAGACCTAGAGTTCAGAATCATGACTTTAAAGATACTAGCTGGGCTTGAAAAAAGGGTGGAAGTTATTAGAGAAACCCTTTCTGGAGAAATAAAAGAACTAAAATCTAACCAAGTCAAAATCGAAAAGGCTATTAATGAGGTCAATCAAAATTGGGGGCACTAACTGCTAGGATAAAGGAGGCAGAAGACAGAATCAGCAATATAGAAGACCAAATGATGGAAAATAAAGAGGCTGAGAAAAAGAGAGAGAAACAACTACAGGATGACAAGGGCAGAATTCGAGAGATAAGCGATACGATAAGACGAAACAACATTAGAATAATTGGGATCCCAGAAAAAGAAGAAAGAGAGAGAGGGGCAGAAGGAATATTGGAGCAAATTATAGCAGAGAACTTCCCTAATGTGGGGAAGGAAACAGGCATCAAAATCCAGGAGGCACAGAGAACCCCTCTCAAATCAATAAAAATAGGTCAACACTCCGACATCTAATAGTAAAACTTATGAGTCTCAGAGAAGAGAGAAAATCCTGAAAGCAGCTCGGGAGAAGAGAAATGTAACCTACAATGGTAGAAACATTAGACTGGCAACAGACCTATCCACAGAGACCTGGCAGGCCAGAAAGGACTGGCATGATATCTTCAGAGCACTAAACGAGAAATATATGCAGCCAAGAATACTATATCCAGCTAGGCTATCATTGAAAATAGAAGGAGAGATAAAAAGCTTCCAGTACAAACAGAAACTAAAAGAATTTGCAAACACGAAACCAGCCCTAAAAGAAATATTGAAAGAGGTCCTCTAAGCAAAAAGAGAGCCTAAAAGCAGCATAGATCAGAAAGGAACAGAGACAATATACAGTAACAGTCACCTTACAGGCAGTACAATGGCACTAAATTCATACCTTTCAATAGTTACCCTGAATGTAAATGGGCTAAATGCCCCAATTAAAAGACACAGGCTATCAGATTGGATTAAAAACCAAGACCCATCCATATGCTGTCTGCAAGAGACTCATTTTGGACCCAAAGACACCCCCAGATTGAAAGTGAGGGGGTGGAAAACCATTTACCATGCTAATGGACACCAAAAGAAAGCTGGGGTGGCAATCCTTATATCAGACAAATTAGATTTTAAAACAAAGACTGTAATAAGAGATGAAGAAGGACACTATATCCTACTTAAAGGGTCTATCCAACAAGAAGACCTAACAATTGTAAATATCTATGTCCTGAACATGGGAGCAGCCAATTATACAAGGCAATTAATAACAAAAGCAAAGAAACACATTGACAACAATACAATAATAGTGGGGGACTTTAACTCGCCCCTAACTGAAATGGACAGATCATCTAATCAAAAGATCAACAAGGAAATAAAGACTTTAAATGAAACACTGGACCAAATGGACTTTACAGACATATTCAGAACATTCCATTCCCAAAGCAACGGAATACACATTCTTCTCTAGTGCCCATGGAACATTCTCCAGAATTGATCACATCCTAGGTCAGAAATCAGGTCTCAATCAGTACCAAAAGATTGGGATTATTCCCTGCATATTTTCAGACCACAATGCTTTGAAACTAGAA